TTTCTAAGCGGATGTGATCATCCGAAAGAAAAAAACGATACAGCCGATAAACTCCTGAATAAGCGAAGTAGCTAGCCGGATTTCTAACCAGCGTGTCGATCTCGGTCGTGTCAACTGTAGCGTTCTTGTACTTATTCTTGTCCGCTAAAGGAGAGTCAAAAAAGTACGATGTTCCAACTTTCGTCGGCTTTCGTATCGAGTATGGACTTCGGTTTCCATACTCGCAGATGAGTTGACTGTATTCCTGATAGAAATGAGCGACCTCAGCTTGTCCGTGCGGATGGACAAGGCTCAAGGTGCGTAGGCTATCTTCCCCTTTGACGATGCTATACTTGAATGGGATAGTGAATTTTCGCTGCTTCAAGACGATCGTCTCAACAAACTTCTGGAGAAGCTCAGACTTAGACTGATGATCGCTCAAATTCTTGTAGAAGCCATCGTTGCTGAAGATGATTGGAACTTCAAAAGGGGCTGTATCGGTCAAGACAGTACGCCAAACATCGCTTTTCTTCAGGCGGACCTTTGTTTTGCTTTTCTTAGGCATATTTCCAGCACTCCATGAGAAACTTCAATCGTTCTGGAGCGAAATGAAAGTGTGTCTTGTCGATAAATGACTTCTCAAAGGAAATGGTCAAAAGCTCATCTCGTTGCTCAAGGGGGAGTGAAAGAGACAAGGGTCCACAAATCTTCCCAGAATTCGAAAGGAGAATTTTTCTTTGGAAGGCGTCCAATTCTTTCAATGACTTCGAAGGGAGATCAATTAAACCGTAGGTATGGTACATGCCCGCTGAGCGGACCCGCGATTTTCGGGTATCGAAGAACTTATGATTGCAGGAATTTATTCGAAATCGGTCTCTGAGGTCACCAAACTCCCCGTCTTTCAGATACTGAAGAAGTGAGCGCGCGACCCTAGTCTTTCTTTTCTTCACCTTACTGTCAGAGACATCTAGTATGACTTTCCTGTTGTTCGGTCTGTCTTTGCCAATCTGCGACACAGAGAACGAGAAACCAAGATAGTCAAACTGATGCTCGACTATGGGAGCTCTGGCTTTCGTTTCTGCAAAATTGATCAACCGCGTCTTCTTTTCATTGAGGCATAAGCCGGGTGGCAGAAGCTCCGAGACACCTTTGCGCAAGCCCGTCAGGTCTTTTGTCGGAGGTAGAACCAAAATTATGTCGTCTACGTACCGAGCATAGAGATGTGGTTTTAGTTGAGACTGTATTGAGGCATCAAAGTCCTGCATGTACATTTCGCCCAGTGCAGCGCTTATTGCCAGCCCAGGAGGGACGCCGTGGATGCCTTGTGCCGCACATGCAGTTACGAAGCCGTCAAGAACTGTTCTCGTTCCAGGTGCAGTATTCAATCTGCGTTGTACCATACCCTTGAGGGAAGCCTGATCGACCGATGGGTAGAACTGTTTGACATCGAATTTCGCTACGGCGAAAGGCATGCCCTCTCGGCACAGAAGCTGAAGCTTTTGAATGATATCGAGCCGGTTACTCTGCCTAGCACTGGAGATTTTTCTGATATTTTGGATAGCTTTCCGCAGCACAAGCTCAGTTGCTAGGTCGTTGTTCTTGTAGATTTCCCGACCCGAAAGATCATTCTTCTCTAGCGTGATGCCCCTGAGACCGGATTTAGCGAGTTTCACCGCTTTGGTAAGTTGAGCGTTCCTGAATGCTTCTGTCTTAAGCTTGGGTCTATCCTTGAAGTCCGTTTTTCTGATATGTCGATTTAGAGAAGTGGGACCAAATGTCGGGTCATACATATTTCAAAGCCAGAATCCAAAGTGGCCGCCATGAACTAGATCCGAATTCCTGTAACGGCGGTCGCTGTCCGTACAATCTCTGGTTTAATACCACGTCTGTGGTCGGTTTGGGAGAGGTCTATTTTCCTAAAGTTCCGCTCGCCGCTTAGCAAGTACAGCGAATGTCCGCTCTCCGCCAATTCCGTTGAATAAGTCCCAATCTAAGTTGTCGGTTTATGGTTCCAAGAATTGACAAGCGGCTTCCTTCCTCACGCGGGTTTCGGCATTTGATCGATCGGGAAGAGCTTTGCGAGTTTTCTGAGGTTCTGGGCGGTTGCTGCGAGGAGGAATTCATCGTTAGCCCCGTTTGGTCCTCGTAATCGGAGCCGTCTGAGGCCCAGAATACGTTTGAGATGGGCAAACAACATCTCAACCTTTTTCCTGAGCTTGCATGAGATCAGATAGTCTTCGGTCTTGGCAATATCCCGTGCCATTTGGCGCGCACCTTCAAACTCCGAAACGGTAATCCGGCGCGGTGAACTCTTAGGGCAGCATTTTTCTTTAAGTGCGCACGCATCGCAGTCTGCTTTCGAAGCGCCATATTTCGTCAGACCGGTGTCTTTTGGCTTCTGACGGACCGTTTGAAACTTACGCCGGCTTTGAAGAAGCTGTTTTCCTGCCGGGCAGACATAGGCGTCGGCCCTGTAATCATACGTGAAGTCGTCGCGCGCGAAGGTGCCATCTGTTCGGCTTGATTTATCAAACACCGGTATGTGCGGCTCAATACCGTGATGCACGACAAGCCAGTTCAGGAACTCGGCAGTGCCATAGGCCGTGTCTGCAATAAGCCGTTCCGGCCACAGGCTGAAGCGCTCCTTCACCCGATCGATCATGGAGATCGTGGCATGGGTCTCGCCGGTGCGAACCGAGCGGCTCGCTTCTACATCGACGATGATCGCATGGTCCGTGTCGATTAGGTAATTGTTGGAGTAGGCAAAATACGCAGGGCCGTGATGCGCAGCCGTCCACTGACTTGACGGGTCGGAGTGCGACGTGAACTTCGGCACGACATCAGTCGCCGCGCCGAACGCCTCGTCGTCCAAGGCCAGGAGATACTCGCGCACGGCACGTGCGGCGGTCTCTGGATTGATCTTGTCGAGATCCCAGTCTTCCTTCGCTGTCGAGTTCTGCTTGTTTACGTCCGCTTCAATCAGGCTGGCATCGGTCGCAAACCGCTTGCCGCCGACAACACCCTCATCAATGCAACGCGCGACCACAGTCTCGAAGACCTTGCGAAACAGATCGCTGTCCCGAAAACGACCGTGACGGTTCTTGGAAAACGTAGAGTGATCAGGCACCGCGTCGGTTAAATCCAGGCGACAGAACCACCTATACGCCAGATTGAGATGCACTTCCTCACACAAGCGCCGTTCGGAACGAATGCCATGGGTATATCCAACGATCAGCATCCGTATCATCAGTTCGGGGTCAACTGACGGGCGACCAGTGTGACTGTAAAACGGCTTCAGATGGTCTCGCACGTCGGAAAGATCGATGAACCGATCAATCGACCGCAGTAGATGGTTCCTGGGCACGTGCTCCTCCAAATAAAACTCGTAAAAAAGAGCACTTTGAAACTCCTGCTTAGACCCCATCATCCGATTCAATCCTCCGCCAGTGAGGCAATTGAATCAGTCAGCAAAACCAATCGCAACTGTTAGTTTTTCAACGGAATTAAGCCCAATGCGGTCAACGAATTCTGCAGAGCAGCGTCTATTTTCCTATCTTCACAATCTTCGTATGTCGACAGCCCGACGAAGCGCGAGGACCGCTGTTGCGTAATCTCCCAGTGAAATGCCTCTGAAAGCAAAGGCTGCCGGTTTTTGGTGTGCACGGTCATCGACTTCCCCTGAGACAAGTTCCGTCAAATCGCCGGTTATCTGCTCGTATGGCAGCATCGGCTTGTCGCTTTCAATTTCCTGTGTTCGGTCATCAACAATAACAGTTTTGAAAGCGGTCATGCTGTTTGGGGACCACGGAATGCAGGCATCTGTAATCGCAGCAAAGGCCGTCGGCTTAAGCCATCGGGCATCTAAGAACGGTTCAATCGAGTAGTCCAATGTAATTGATGTCACCACCAGATCGGCATCTCGCAAAACATCCTTCGCATTGGCGGCTGTTTCAGCTTGGAGGCCCATGTCGCGAGCACTACCACAGAGCTTTTCAGTATTTGCTTTGCCACGCCCAAACACGCGAATTCTTTTCAGGGGAAATAACTCTGAAAATGCAAGCAAATGGGAGTGAGCTTGCACGCCTGCGCCTACAAAAGCCACCGTCTCGGCACCAGGGTCTGCAAGTCTGCGCGCCACCACCATTGACAGTGCTGCTGTTCTGATTGCGGTTATCCAGTTCGCCCCCAATACAGCTCTGAGAAGCCCGGTTTGCGCGTCCATAACCATGATTGCGCCGTTAATCGCGGGGAGCCCTCTCGCCGGATTTTCAGGGCACACAGTCACCTGTTTCGTCACAATGAACCCATCATCTCCCACTGCCAAAGTTGACATTGCATACCGTCCATCCCCAGGCAAGATGGCTGTCTTGGGAGACGTATGAAGCTTTCCGTTTGCCTTGGCGATCAGGGCAGCTTCAATGGCTTCCGTAACTTCGGAAGGCTGGATGCCTAAAGCTTCCAAATCCTTGTCGGAAAGATAAACCGGTTTGCTTTCAAAAGTCATATTGTCATCTCTCGGCTTTGCAATCTGGCATTCTGACTGCGCACGATATCTTGGGCACCTTCTTCTTGTCGGTTGATGTTCCCAGTATCAATAAAACTGAAGTAACAAATTCTTGGCTTCACTGCACGACAAGGAAATGCTGCTCCGCTAACTTGGGATGGATATCCAAACCGAGTGACCGAAAAGTCCGCATCTCAGTCCTTTTTGAACGGCGCAATGAAATTCCGCTTTTGAGTTTTGAGCCCCAGCCGCTGAATGACTGGAATGGGGGCACGTTTGGGAAGTTCCCTGGGGCGAAATACCAGCGCCAGCCACGCGAAACCGAAACGTATTGGGAAGAGTGGATTACGGTCCGCAAGACCGTGGGAGCCATGGCCCGTTTCGCGCTCTGGCGGTTTGACGCGCTTTTGGATCACTTAGCTTGAAAGGTGAGCAATTCGGCTGCAGCATCAAAAGAGAAGTTTCAATTGCTGCATGTCATGCAAATTCTGGGTGTTTTCAGTTTGGGAAGGTCAAGATGAACGTTCTGCCAGACAGGTTTTTGAGAGATCTTCTCACGCTCCGCTCCTTCGGCGCGAGTGGCGTGGGCAAGGGAGTGGTGCGTCCGGCGTTTTCTGAACCAGATGTGGCTGCCCGAAAGTGGCTGATCCAACAGTTTGAGGCAACGGGCCTGACCCCACATGTGGATCCTGCGGGCAACGTCTTTGGCCTGACCGATGCTCCATCCATGCTTTTGGGGTCTCACACCGATACCCAACCCGAAGGGGGCTGGCTCGATGGGGCATTGGGTGTCATCGTCGCATTGGAGATCGCGCGTGCTGCGAAAGAGGCGGGTGGTCCGCCAGTGTCAGTCGTGAACTTCCAGGATGAAGAAGGGCGGTTTGGTGCGCTGACCGGATCCAGCATTTATTCAGGCAAGACCACACTTGCCGAGGCCGACGAATTCACGGACATGAACGGGCTCTCTTTCCGCGACGCGCGGTCTTCAATTGCGGATCTTGCAGGAGTGTGCGTGCCACATAAGCAGTTCTCGGGTTTCATCGAGCTGCATATTGAACAGGGCAGCACACTGCACGACGCGGGCGAGGCGATTGGTGTTGTCACAGGTATTGTCGGATCCCGACAACTGCAGATCACGCTGACAGGCCAGCAAAACCACGCTGGAACCACGCTGATGTACCAGCGAAAAGATGCGTTTCAGGCGTTGTCGGCATTCAACGCCGCGCTAAACGACCGCCTTCGAAACATTGTAACACCGCGCACAGTTTGGACGATTGGCCGGATACAACTTAGGCCCAATGCACCCTCCATTGTGCCTGGTGAGGTGGTGTTCGACGTGCAATGGCGCGATGTCGATGACGATCGGCTGGCCCGGATGGAATCTCTTGTTCGCGATCTTGTTGCCGAGATTGCCGGAGACCACGGAATGCAGGCTGAAATTGTGCCGATCAAGGCGCTGCAGCCGGTTCCAATGGACGCCAACTTGCGCGCGGCCTTGAGCGCCGCAGCCGAGGCACAGGCCCCGGGTAAATGGCGCGAGATGCCGTCGGGCGCCTTGCACGACGCTTCAAACATGGCGCGGTTGATGCCGTCAGCGATGTTGTTTGTTCCGTCGATAGACGGGATCAGCCACGATTTTGCCGAAGACACGCACGAGGCCGACTTGATAACCGGCTTGCGTGTGCTGGCGGACGCCGTCAGCCGACTAAACTGAAACAGTTGCCAAACCAGAGCCCCCGTTGCTCAAACGCTTGTGCTCTCCGATAAACTTGCCGCCGGACAATAGACTTCCCGAGGCCGGTCTGGCTCTTCGAGATCAATTTGTAGCCGCAGAACCAACGGGAAGAGCTTCTCTAGCCGGCGGAGTAGCCAAGCAAATCGGCCACTCGATCTGACTGCAACGAATGGCCGCTGCCCACCCAACTCGTAAATTTGTTGCGTCTCAAACGACAACTCGGTGCCTTGAACTCCCCGGTACTTGAGTGTCGTGGATATGCGGCCGCATGCTCACGACGTGCCGAGTTTCGTGCGCATGCCAGGAAACGTGTGATCTGGACGGTGAATGTTGGGCGCTTGCAGGGTTGGGATACCCTGCCGTTTCACGAAATTCGGTTTGCTCGGTGAAACATCATGTGCGTCGCTAAATGTGTGCCGTTCGCTGCCAGCGGGTGCCGAATTCCGCCGAAAGATGATCGATGAGCGCGCGGATCCGCCGGGTCAGGTGTCGATTGGGCGGATAAAGGGCGTATACGCCAAAATCGTTCGACGGATAATCGGGAAGGACTTCTTCAAGATCGCCTTTTTCAAGCGCGTTTTCAACGATATAGAGCGGTGCACGGGTGACGCCGAGACCGCCGATGGCCATGCGGGCCAGAGCGCCGGGCGAGTTTGCCTGCACGGTCGCATTGATCCTGACAATCTGCTCGGAACCTTGCGCATGAAACCGCCAGATGTTCATCTCCGACTGGTTGGAATAGATCAGGCAGGCATGGGTTGTCAGGGCCTGCGGCGTTTGCGGACGCCCATGCCTGTCCAGGTAGTCGGGCGAGGCGCACAGGATCAACGGCATGTCGGAGAGTTTGCGGGCGATCAGCGCTGAATCCTTCAGATCACTGATGCGAATGGCAAGGTCGAGACCTTCCTCGACGACGGCCACACGGCTGTCGGTGAGTTTCAGGTCCAGTTCGATATCCCGGTGTTGTCTCAGGAACGGCACAAGGGCTTCCGTCAGCCGGGTGCTGCCGAAAACCGTGGGGGCGGTCATGCGTATGGAACCCGCCAGGGAACCCTGCCGTTCCCTGACCAGTGAATCGAGATCGTCAATCTGCTCGAGGATGGACCGGCAGCGATCCAGATAGGCATTTCCGACGTCCGTCAGCGCGACACTCCGGGTCGTCCGGTTGAAAAGCTGCGTCTGCAGCCGGCTCTCCAGTTGCTGAACATATTTGCTGACCAGCTTTGTCGAGATACCTAGCCGACGTCCGGCGCCAGTGAAGGATTGTTCCGCTGCAACCGCAACGAAGGCCCGCATGGTTTCGATCTTGTCCACGGCGTCAAATCCTCTCGCAGATATTATCCTTAAATCATACATAATCATTGAATGAATTGAAGTATTATCTTCGAATTGGAAGAGGTGCATATTGCGATCAGCGGACCGGGCAGGGTGTTCCGGGTGCCGCCGAAAGTCATCCAAATGGAGATCGCAATGTCCAATGCCATTCGCATTCACCGCCATCCGCTGTCCGGTCACGCGCACCGGGCGCAGCTTTTTGCCAGCCTGACCGGCATCAACCATGAGCTAGTCGATGTTGACCTGCTGTCGGGTGAACACAAGAAAGAACCGTTCCTGAGTCTCAATCCTGCCGGCAAGGTTCCGGTTCTGGAAGACGGGGAAGTCGTCGTCGCCGATTCCAATGCGATCCTTGTCTATCTTGCCCGTAAATATGCGCCGGACTGGATGCCGAAAGACACGGTCGGTGAGGCCGAAGTGCAGCGTTTCCTTTCGCTGGCTGCAAACGAAATCGCCAATGGACCGGCGGCAGCCCGCCTGATTACCGTCTTCGGTGCGCCGCTTGATGCGGACCGGGCAAAGACGATCGCGGCCGGTGTCTTTGGCCAGCTGGAGGCTCATCTGAATGGTCGTGACTGGCTGGTCGGAAACCGGCCGTCGGTCGCCGATGTCGCTATCTACAGCTACACGGCGCACGCGCCAGAGGGCAATGTCGGGCTCGACGGCTATCCGAATATCCGCGCGCTCCTGGCCCGTATCGAAGCGCTGCCGGGCTTTGTGCCGATGCAGGCCACAAAGGCCGGATTGGCCGCCTGATCCGGAGATACGGGCACAATCGAGGAAGAGGCGGTCATGCGCCTCTTTCCCGAAGATTGCATTTCGACAATCCAAACCAGTGGCGGACAAAATGACCAATACAGCCAGGAAACCGGCTTCCAGCGTGGACGTCAGGATCGTGAACGCTTTTGTCAGAGATGGAGAAGGCGGCAATCCGGCAGGCGTTGTGCTTGACGCCGATCATCTCAGCGAAGCAGACATGCAGGCAATCGCAGCCGGAACGGGTCTTTCAGAAACGGCTTTCGTATCCGGATCGGACATTGCGGACTTCAAACTGGATTTCTTTACGCCTACCCGGCGGATTGCCCATTGCGGCCATGCGACTGTCGGTACGTTTTCCCTGCTTGCCTCTCTCGGCAGGGTAGGTGAAGGCGCAAGTTCGAAGGAAACGGTTGATGGGCCGCGTGCGATCGAGATCAGGCACGGTGCCGCCTTCATGGAGCAACTTGCCCCCGCGTATTTCGGAGAACTGGAGTGGGGCAGTGATGCTGTTCGCGAACAGGATGTGCTGACGGCTCTGGGACTGACGCAAGACGACCTGTTGCCGGGTGGAAATCCCGTTGTTGTCGATACCGGGAACCGTTTCCTGCTGGTCGGTGTGAAAGACCCGCACGTGCTGGAACGGATTGCCGAGGACCAGGACCTGATCGAGGCCATCAGCGAAGATCTCGATCTGATCGGCTTTTATCCCTTTGCGTTGCCGGGGGAGGGAGAGATCACCGCAACAACGAGGATGTTCGCACCGCGCTACGGCATTCGCGAGGAAGCTGCCACGGGTATGGCGGCAGGACCGCTCGCCTGTTTGCTTCATGACCGGTTCGGGGTCAGCGCGTCTTGCATCCTGATCGAGCAAGGCAGGTACATGACACCGGCTTCTGTCAGTCTGCTGGATGTTCGGCTTTCCTTCCAAAAAGGTGCGATTTCCGGCCTGATGGCTGGCGGTTACGGCAAGGTCGTGCGGGAGCAGACAGTCAGCTACTGACGACGCCGGTTCAGACCAAGGCCAATCCCGGGCAACAGGTTCGTGGCAAGACAAAAGGAATGATCCAATGAAAGCGATAGATTTGCCTGGCGTCAGAGAACAGGACGCCACTCCGTTTCATGAAGGTGAAATCGCCATTCAGGAGCGCATGGGAGAACGCGACATCGAGACCTGGGCAAAAAGGGCAATCCGGCCGTTCATGCCGGACCAGCATCGGACTTTCTTTGCCGCGCAGCCATTCCTGATTGTTTCCGCACGAGACCGGTCAGGTCGCCCCTGGGCAACATTGCTTGAAGGTGAGGCCGGCTTCATTTCTTCCCCGGATCCGGAGAGCCTGGAAATCAACGCGAAACCGGTCAGCGGGGATGCACTGGAACATGCATTCGATGTTGCAGCCGATATCGGTATCCTCGGCATCGAGATGGCGACCCGCCGCCGGAACCGTGTGAATGGACGGGTCGGTGGAAACGGCGCGTCAGGGATCAGGTTTGAAGTGGGACAATCCTTCGGCAATTGCCCGCAATACATCCGCGAGCGGGACTACTGGTTCACCTCCGAAACTGTGGCCGGGACCGCCAAACGCGGCAGGCAACTCACCGAAAGCCAGATTGAGTGGATCAGGGCGGCAGACACTTTTTTCATTGCGTCCGGACACAATGGCGCACGCGACCATGTCGCGAACGGTATGGACGTTTCGCACCGTGGCGGCGACCGGGGTTTCGTGGAGGTGCTGAGCGACACGCAAATGCGGTTTCCGGATTATGCGGGCAACCGCCACTACAACACACTGGGCAATATCCTGCTCGATGGCCGGGCCGGATTTCTGTTCCTTGATTTTTCGACCGGAAGCCTGTTGCAGATAACGGGCCGGGCGACGATCGATTTCGGTTCAGAAGAAGTCGTCCGATTTCCCGGCGCGCGTCAGCTGGTGTCGCTGGAGATCGATGAAATTGTCGAGCTGTCATCAGCACTCAGACTGCGCTGGCAGGAGGATGCAGGGTCTGCTCGATCCTTGCGCCTCGTTGAGAAAACGGCAGAAAGCGCCGACGTGTCGTCCTTTGTGTTCGAAGCGCGCGACGGCGGACCGTTGGCTTCCTTCAAGGCCGGACAGCATTTGCCGATCGAGTTGAGGGTTCCTGATGCTGATACAAAGGTCCAGAGAACGTACTCGCTTTCCGGTTCACCGCTGGAGGATCGATACAGGATCTCCGTCAAACGGGAAGCGCGTGGACTGGCATCCGGTTTTCTGCACGACCGGCTGGAGGTCGGTACGATCCTGGAAAGCCGGAAACCGGCCGGAGACTTCGTGCTGTCGGATGGCGATGGTCCGCTCGTTCTTGTCAGCGCAGGGATCGGGGTCACACCGATGTTGAGCATGTTGCATCACCTGGTTGCTGAAAAGAGCGAACGAGACGTCCTGTTCGTGCATGGTGCCCGGGATGGGGACCACCATCCGTTCCGCGACGAGGTTGCGCGACTGGCCGAAGCAGTAGCAAATATCAAAACCCGCATTCTTTACAGTCGACCGTCTCCTAACGATGAACAAGGCAGGGATTACGATGAAACCGGCAGGATCTCGGCAGATTTTCTGATCCGGCTCATGCCTGACCCGGATGCAGATTATTACCTTTGCGGTCCCGCGGGTTTTCTCGCTGAGCTGACGGACGGTCTGGAAAACAAAGGTGTCGCGGAAGGAAAAATTCATTTCGAAACGTTTTGAGCATGATTGGCCGGTGCATGGTTCGGACGGCTGTCAACCGGAAACATCCGGGCCCGCCACCAGGGGCCGAATTGGCCGAACCCGGCCGTCATTCAGCCCTGATGAAAAAATCTGCATTCACGGTCAATTTCCGCTTGCGCGAAACACCAAACTACCGCATATAGCGCCTGCCCAAATTCGCACGTGCCCGAGGTCGTTCATGGGATGCTACAAAGACATCTCTTAAGGGGCCGCTGCCACTAAAACCGCCAAGGGGCGGGCAGCAGATCCGTATGGCTTAAAGCAACGACGTAAGAGGGCTTTTTTGGTCTCTGCCGGGGTATCCAACCTCCGGCGTCACTGAAGAGGCACTTGTTACATCCTTGCCCGACGTGCGGCTCGGTATCTCCGATCCAATCAACGGCATTCCCGACGCGGGAAAGCATCGTGTGCATGTCAAATGCCGTGATCGCCCAACCGTCGCTGCGGTCAACCCGGCCTCCGGTTCCATCCCGGGGGAGGCCCGGTGCGTATTGCAGCACCCTGCGACGTGAACTGCAGCACGCCAAACGGAGTTTGCGTGTCTGCGGCCTGATTTGAAAGGGGAGATCCCCATGAGCGAGCGCATCCGCGACTTCCTGCGCCGACGCGACGACGACGGACCCTGCGTTGTTGTCGATCTCGATATCGTGAGCGACAACTTCCAGGCTTTTGCAAGGTCATTGCCGGACACTTCGGTCTATTACGCCGTGAAAGCGAACCCTGCACCGGAAATCCTCTCCCTGCTTGAGAGCCTTGGTTCCTCCTTCGATTGTGCCTCCGTCGGTGAAATCGAACTGGTGTTGGCGACCGGTGCGTCGGCCGACCGTATTTCCTATGGCAACACCATCAAGAAGGAGAGGGACATTGCGCGTGCCTTTGAACATGGCGTCCGGCTCTTCGCAGTCGACTGCATTGAAGAAGTCGAAAAGATCGCCCGGGCTGCTCCCGGGTCGAAAATCTTCTGCCGGGTCCTTTGTGACGGTGTCGGTGCCGAGTGGCCACTCTCCCGCAAATTCGGTTGTGATCCCGAAATGGCGACCGACGTCCTGGAATACGCGCACAGGCTCGGCCTCACTGCATACGGGGTTTCCTTCCACGTTGGTTCCCAGCAAGCAAATCTCGAAGCCTGGGATTTCGCTCTCGCCATGGCGGCAGGTGTCTTCCGCGAAATGGCGCTGCGCGGTATCGAGCTGAAAATGGTCAACATGGGTGGTGGTTTCCCGACCCGCTACCTGAAAGACGTCCCGGGTGTGCCGCGCTATGGCGAGGCAATTTTCCAGGCGCTGTGCCGGCATTTTGGCAACCAGCTTCCGTCGACGATTATCGAACCGGGCCGGGGCATGGTCGGCAACGCCGGCATGATCGAAGCCGAAGTGGTGCTGATTTCCAGGAAGTCCGCTCAGGACGACATGCGCTGGGTCTATCTCGACATCGGCAAGTTCAACGGTCTTGCCGAGACCATGGACGAGGCCATCCGCTACCCGATCCGCACGCCTCGCGACGGCGACAGGACGACACCGTGTGTTCTGGCCGGACCGACCTGCGACAGTGTTGACGTTCTTTATGAAAAGACGCCGTACCAATTGCCAGTCAGTCTTTCCATCGGCGACAAGGTGCTGATCGAAGCCTGTGGTGCCTACACGACAACCTATTCGTCGGTTGGCTTCAATGGATTTGCGCCATTGGCGTCTCACGTCATCTAGGGCGAACCGAAATGATCACCATTGTTGACGAGGCGCTGGAACACTTCAGCGCCCGCGAGGCTTTGCTTGACCTCGGTTTCGGAGAGGATCGTCACCTGAAAACGTGCGAGCGGCTTCGCGCGGGCAGGATACCGGTGTTTGCGTATGTCGCACTTGATGAAGAAGGCAAGCTCGCTGGAACCGTGCGTCTCTGGTCCGTGCAGGACGAGGGCGGTCAATCAAGCCTGCTGCTCGGACCACTGGCCGTTGCGTCAGAATTCAGAGGCAGAGGGGTCGGTGACCGGTTGATGCGACACGCGCTCAACCAGGCGTCAACGCATGGTCATGGGTCGGTGGTTCTTGTCGGCGATCCTGCATATTACGAGCGGTTCGGTTTTTCGTCGGGCAAGCTGGCTCGGGTCATCTTGCCAGGACCAGTGGATCACCTTCGCTTTCTTGGAGTGGAACTTCTGCCCGGACAGCTTGCTGAACTGAATGGTGTGTTGAAGGCGTCAGGGGAATTCCAGGTCAATGCATCCGGAACAGCAGGTCCGTCCCGGGGCGTCGAGCCAAGCCCGGCAGAACAGGTGATTTTCCATCAAGAAAAATGCGGGTCAAAGGCTTGAATTCCATTCAAAAACGGGTCACTTCTAGAGCAAAGCGCAATAAGTGCGCTTCTGTTTGAAAAGCTATTTCTTGAGCCCTACCTTTTGACGACACAATTGGCGGCAGAAAAGACCGGAGTTTAGAAAATGACCGACGAATCCAACGGCGGCACGCCGAAAAAGCCGGCCACAAGAGCAAACACAAAACGGACGCAGGCAGAAGCCAAACCAACCACCGCAAAGGCCTCATCAACAAAATCAACGGCTCCCAAGTCCACAGGCTCCAGATCAAGTGCCGCGAAGGCCAAACCTGCCGCTGCCAAGCCTGCCGCTTCCAAACCTTCAGCGAAGACGGCGGCAGCCAAACCGGCGGCAACACCCTCCAAGGCTGCTGCAAGAAAACAATCGACCGCCAAGGCTGTCAGCAAACCCGCAGCACCAAAGCAGACGGCATCAAAAACCAGGGCCAGTACTGCAGCTGCAAAGCCAGCGGCGACTGCGTCGAAACCTGTGACCAGAAAACCGTCGACGGCAAAGCCTGCTTCGAAGTCCAAAGCGACAAAACCGGTGACGGCAAAACCTGTTGCCAAAACCACGGCAGCAAAACCTGCAGTGGGCAAGGCCGCGCCGAAGAGTGCGGCGGTGAAACCTGCAGCAAGCAAGACCGCACCAAAAACCAGAGCAGCGAAGCCTGCAGCGGCGAATGCCGCTCCCAAGAGCGCGGCATCGAAACCTGCAGCAGCCAAGTCCGCCCCAAAGACCAGGGCAGCGAAGCCTGCAACGGCCAAAGCGGCAGCAAAGACCGCGGTAGTGAAACCTGTAGCAAGCAGGGCAACTCCGAAGTCCGGAGCAGCGAAACCTGCGGCAGCCAGCAAAGCCGCACCAAAGAGCAGGGCGGCAAGATCCGCTACTGCCAAAGCGGCTCCCAACAGCGCAGCAGCAAAGCCTGCAGCAAGCAAGGCGGCCCCGAAGAGTCCGGCAAAACCGACCGCAAGCAAACCTGCCGCAGCACGCAAAGCAACTGCCAAACCCGTGGCTTCCAGGCCTGGTGCACCAAAACCTTCGGCCGCAAGGGCAACTACCAGATCTGCCGAGAAAAAACCTGCGACAGCGCGTAAAGCACCGGCAAGGAAAGCAGCTCCCAAGGCCACGGTGAGCTCAAGTGCATATCCGGTTCACGGAACGATAACCGGACCTGTGGTCATGATCGGGCTCGGTTCCATCGGCAAAGGGACGCTGCCGCTGATCGAACGTCACTTCAATTTCGACAAGTCACGCTTTTCGGTGATTGATCCTGTCGACACGGATGCAAAACTTGTGACGGATCGGGGCTACAAATTCCATAAAGTTGCACTGACACCGGACAACTTCAAGGACATCCTGACGCCTCTGGTTACCGAGGGGGAGGGGCAGGGCTTCGTTGTGAACCTGTCGGTCGACACCTCTTCGCTTGATCTCATGAAACTGTGCCGGAAACTCGGTGTCCTCTACATCGACACCGTCGTTGAGCCCTGGCTCGGATTCTACTTTGATGAAAATGCTCCGGCCGCCGATCGCACGAACTACGCATTGCGCGAAACTGTCCGCAAGGAAAAGAAGAAGAAGCCTGGCGGCACGACGGCTGTCTCCTGCTGCGGCGCAAATCCGGGCATGGTGTCCTGGTTCGTCAAGAAAGCGCTTGTCGACGTGGCCACTGAAACCGGCATCAAGTTCAAGGAGCCAGCCGACCGCAAGGGTTGGGCGAAGCTGATGAAGAAGGTCGGCGTCAAGGGCATCCACATTGCCGAGCGCGATACGCAACGGGCCAAGGAGCCGAAGCCGCCGAACGTGTTCTGGAACACCTGGTCCGTCGAAGGCTTTCTGTCCGAAGGCTTCCAGCCCTCCGAGCTCGGCTGGGGTACGCACGAGAAGTGGAAACCGGCAAACGCCAAGAGCCACAAGAAGGGCTGCAATGCGGCGATCTATCTCGAGCAGCCAGGGGCCAACACGCGGGTGCGCACATGGTGCCCGACACCCGGGGCGCAGTTCGGTTTCCTCGTGACCCACAACGAGGCCATTTCGATTGCCGATTTCTTTACGCTGGAGGACGGCAAGAAGGTCACCTACAGGCCGACCTGCCACTATGCCTATCACCCGGCCAACGACGCGGTTCTTTCCCTGCATGAGCTTTTCGGTGCAGCAGGCAAGGTACAGGACAAGCTTCATGTTCTGGAGGAAGATGAAATCCGCGACGGTATCGATGAGCTCGGCGTTCTTCTCTATGGTCACAAGAAAAACGCTTACTGGTACGGCTCCCAGCTCTCCGTCGAGGAAACCCGCAAACTGGCACCCTATCAGAATGCGACCGGTCTACAGGTAACGTCGGCGGTCATTGCGGGAATGGTCTGGGCGCTGGAGAACCCGGAAGCGGGCATCGTTGAGACCGACGAGATGGACTACAGGCGCTGCCTTGAAATCCAGTTGCCTTATCTCGGGCCGGTCAAGGGCTATTATACCGACTGGACACCCTTGGAGGGGCGGCCGGGCTTCTTCAAGGAAGACCTGGACAAGAAGGATCCCTGGCAGTTCAGGAATATCCTGGTTCGGTAAGAAGTAACAGAAAGCGTGCCGTCCCGGACCTGATCCGGGACCTTTTCCGACAATTGGCAGCGGCTCGAGGCCGGGGCGGCTGAGATAAGTTGCGGCAGCTTCAGGTCCTTTTGACCAAGGTTTTAATTTGGATAGTTTCATCGACAGCATCGGTCTGAACAATCTGCTGCTCGCAGTTCATGTCGCCGCACTTTTGTTTGCCATGCTTACCTGGTCCATTTTGCCACCAAAGCGCAAACGTTGGCCGAATTCGCCGATCACGGGCGGTATATCCATTCTTGTCGCAGTATACTTTGTCTTTCGAATGCTGGCAGTCCCGCAAGGACCAACAGCGAATGGTTCCTTTGCGGACTGGTACCTGATTTTTAGTGTTGTTTCAGTCGGCATGCTGCCCGCTGCCACCCTGTTTTGCTTCTTTGTCTCCGGTATCGTCATTGGCAGCCTGATAGCCAATAATCTTGTCAAACGTTGATGCGGGCGCCGCGCGCGGCCATCCGTGTTCCAAATTGGTTCGCATGCCCGACTTCCCTTCAGCCATGTGCCCCGGCTCGGGGGCGGGGCGGCCAGGTAATCAGAGACGCCTCAGTTGCCTATCTTTGCCACCCCGAGCGGGACATTGAATTTGCGGCACCAGATGTAAACCTCGTTATAGTCGGAAGCGTTGATCCCGCTGCTGATCTGGTAACTCTGCTTGCCGGTCAGTTTCTTCAGTGCTCCGAGATCGGCGTTCGGGTCGAACTTGCCATTTTTTCCAAGACCGACCCGTGGATCGGGTGCGCCATCGAGGCTGAAATCGCTTTCGAGGACGACGCTGTTACTGCTGAGTTCGGTCTTGCCCGTCGTGACATGGTCGCTGCGGCCCGAGAAGTTGCCGGATCTCGTCTTGCTTCCCGCAAATGCGGGTATGGTGGCTGATGCAACGGTTGTGGCCACGAAGCCGGAAGTGAGTGCGAGAAACTGTCTGCGGTTCGTCATTTTCTGTTTTCCTTGGGTGCCCGTAAATTTGTTGAGTGCATTTCTGATGAGGGCCGTCCGGCCACACGTTTCAGATCGGGTTGGCTGCGTTTTTTTGAAGGCACATTCAGCTCTCGCGTCGTCACATGTTGGCGAAATCCGCGTTACCGGATGATGACATCACACTCGGCTGCTTCGTCTGCACCTGGTCAATCGACTGCGCTTCAGCTGAATATTACAAATTGTCCAGATGTCTGGACTGAGACTGGCACGCTTCCTAAGTAAGCGGGCGCAGCGGAATGATGCTGCAGAAACCAGGCATCCCGGCTGTGACAGGCAAGTGCTGCTGCGCCGGGTACCTTCCGACAGATCAATCAATCGAAACCAATCGGGCCAAGAACCATGTCTGTGTTATTCGATGCAGGTCTGCTGCTTGCAGCAGTGCTTGTCTTTTTTGCAAGCGTTTTGGGTTACTTTCTGCTTTCAAATGTCTTCCAGTCCAAAAGACGGCGCGGGCTGCTTTCAAAGGACGGGTTTACCTTCCTGATTGCCGGCGGTCTCTTTCTCACCTTCACGGCCAGCTATATGGAAATCTTCGCTTTCGCATTCCGTTTGCCATATCCGGTCTTTGTCGATCTCGGGATCGGATTGCTGGCAGTATTCGGCACATCAGTCATTGCCTACAAGTTCGCAACACGGCTGGTAGAGAACAGATCAAGACATCGAAAAAGATTGCCTGCCTGACGAGCGACCTAAAAAATAGCCACGTTCCCTTTTCGACCGTGAAAGCGTCGCAGCCCGGCATTCACCCGACGTTATCTCGTAAAATTTACCGAAGGAAGATTGCGCTTCTACAACCTGACTGTTATTTGAGGTAGTAAGTTTTTTTATGCACACATCAATTTATTCATTGGGTGATAAATGTCTGAAGTTAAGGAAGTAGTCAGATCGGTCATTGCGAAGAACCTGAATTTGGCCTGGTGGACAATCACGCCAAATTCAACCTTAAGTAGGTTGGGCGCGGACAGTCTGGATGCGATTGGTCTCATCATGGCCGTCGAGCTGGAGCTCGGGTGCTGCCTGCCGCAGGAAACCTTCAATTCGATTGAACTTCAGGACAACGAATGGACATTTGGTGCCTTCGTCGAGGCGATCGAAAAATCGGTCAATCATGTGCCGGTCCGTCTGCAAGCCCTAGCCGAGTGAGCGCGCAATCGGGTTCAGCGGGGACGGGCCTGTTCAGCCTGGCAACAGCCGGACCACGTCAATCGGTTCGGCCTTGCCCTTGACCAACTGCGGACCGATCTGTTGTTGAAGGATGTCCGGGTTCAGCCTATTGGCGATCTCGCCGGAAACCAGAACAATGACCTCTGCCGTGCGGTCAATTTCCTTGCCTAGGCTTTCAAGGCGCGCGGCTATGTTCACGGTATCGCCGATTACGGTATAGTTGACGCGTCCGGGTGCGCCGATATCTCCGACGATCAGCGGACCCATGTGAATACCGATACGTACGCGCACCGGTGGTTCGTTGCGTGCTGCACGATCCCGGTTGTCCCTGACGATCGCCTCGACCATTGCAAGTGCTGCACCGGCAGCAGGCTCAGCCGGATTGTCCAGGTGATCCGGCGCGCCCCAGAACGCCATGACACTGTCGCCGATATACTTGTCGATCGTGCCACCGTGGTTGGTAATTTCCGCGCCTAGTATTGACAGGTGATGATTGACGAAAGCTGCGGTTTCGCTCGCAGACATGCCTTCAGACGCAGATGTAAAGCCGACGATATCGGTAAAGAGAACGGCGACTTCGCGTTCCTCAGGCGGTGCTTCTGTGCGGCCTTCACTCAGGAGCTTCTGCACGAGGGTGCGCGGTACATACCTGTTGAAGGCATTGAGCCCTCCGACCATCGCGTTGAAGCCACTCGACAAATCGTCAAGCTCCCGGATGACGGACGGGGGGAGCGGTTCAAATGCTTCCAGGTTCAGTCCGGCGACGTCCTTGGCCGAACCGGCCGCCCGGCGAATTGGCTTGGCTATGCGGCGCGCAAGGGCAATGGCGCCGAGCAGAGACAGCAGCAGCAATCCCAGTCCAACCACGATGGCGACAAGCAGCTGGCGCAACGGCTGATCCAGGAACTCGCCGGGAAAATGCACACCGATACGCGCAGGGAGCCCTTTCAGGTTGTCGTTCTTCTTTTCCAGAATGATGAAACGCTTGTTTCCCTCCCGGTCATATCCCGTTCGCAGTTCGAGGTTGTCTGCAATTTTGTAATCCTCGTTTGCCACGACCTGCATTTCCGAGAAACTGGTGAGAAAATGATCGGAAATCTGACTGACATGGAGAAGCGGCGCAGTCTCGCTCAACTGCTCAAACCGTTGGTGCAGCAATGGGTGCGCGATGACCTCTTCAGACTTTTCCTTCATCAGAAACACGATGATGTCTTCGGTTGAAATGGACCACGTGATGTCTGAAATCCGCTCCAGTGACATGCCGATCATGAAGCTGCCGTGGTACTTGTCCTTATCATAGAGGGGAGTTGTGTAGATGAAATACGTGTGCTCCCGGCTCGGCATATAAAGCGGTTCGCTCCAGAACGGGGTCGATTGCCGCGAAGCTTTCCCCGTTAACCGGGTCAGGCTTGGAATTTCTGACGCCAGATCAGTCCGGCCACCTTCCAGCTTTCCATCAGCATCTCCCCGGTCGACATCGACGCCGCGGCCGTTTTCATCGACCATCACCATGAATGAGACACGATCCTGGGGTGCGAGTGCGCCGTAGATATACGCGATCAACAATTCGGGTTCGTCAAACGACAATTCGCCAAGCGCCCAGCTCGCATGGGTATAGTCCGCCGTCTCGGTCACTGCATGCAACTGCTCGACAAAGGCTGCTTCAGTGGAATCCATTCCAAGATCAACGAGCCCTCCGCCAAGCTGGCGGATAACGCGTTCGGAGGTTACTGCCTGGATGATCAGGATCGCGGCAGCTGTGATGACCACGAATGTCCCGATAACAGTGGCCAGGGTCGGTGTGATGAAGAGTTTGTTGCGTAAATGCACAGTGATATCCCAAAACACAGCCAAGTATGTTGCCGGACCGGTAGCGCTGACTGATTGCCGTTTCGCCAATTCGGTGCTTTGCGGACATTAACCGAACTTTCCCGACAAAAGAAAAGGCCCCGAAAGCAGTCCGCTTCCGAAGCCTTTCGTCAGAAAACAGGAAATGTGACGTCAGGAAGCCTTTTCAGGTTCGTTGAACCTGTGTCCGTAGTCGACCGCAACTTCGTAGTCGGGATCTTCAAGAACGGAAACTTCAACGAGATTGCCCGCCTTGCTCAGCAGTTTCTGGCAATCCGGAGACAGATGGCGCAAGTGAAGACGCTTGCCGGCGGCCACATATTTCGACGCCAGGGCGTCGATCGCTTCAAGACCCGAGTGGTCGACGACGCGGCTGTCAATGAAGTCGACAACCACATCGTCCGGGTCGTTCTGGGGGTTGAACAGATCGACAAATCCTGTTGTCGAGCCGAAGAAAAGCGGTCCGGACAAACGATATACCTTCCAGCCCTCCTTGCTCGTACCGACACGTGCGCTGATGCGGCTGGCCGCATTCCAAGCATAGGCGAGCGCCGAAATGATGACACCGACAACCACCGCGACGGCAAGGTCCGCATAGACGGTTACACAGGTGACGATCACCATGACGAGCGCGTCGGTCAGCGGGATCTTGTGGACGATCTTCAGACTGGCCCATGCAAATGTGCCGATAACGACCATGAACATCACGCCGACAAGAGCCGCGACCGGGATCTGTTCAATCAGGGGCGAGGCAATGACAATGAAGGACAGCAGGAACAGGGCAGCGGCAATGCCGGATATCCGCGTTCGAGCCCCTGATTTCACGTTGATCATCGATTGGCCGATCATGGCGCAGCCACCCATGCCGCCGAAGAAACCGGTGACAATGTTCGCGGTGCCCTGTGCAACGCATTCCTTCGAGGCGCCACCTTTGGTGTTTGTCAGGTCCGCGACGAGGTTGAGCGTCAAAAGGGATTCGATCAGGCCGATTGCAGCCAGGATAACCGCGTAGGGAAAGATGATCTGCAGTGTTTCAAGGGTGAGTGGGACCATCGGGATGTGGAAGTCAGGCAGGCCGCCAGAAATCGAAGCCAGATCCCCGACCGACCGGGTATCGAGATTGAAGCCGAGAACCAGGCCCCAAACCACCAGAATACCCGCAAGCGGGGCAGGAAACGAGGTGGTGATCTTTGGAAGCAGCCAGGTCACCGCCATGGTAAGGGCAACGAGCCCGAGCATCAGGTAGAGCTCCCATCCTCCCATCCAGGTCAGGCCGCCGGATGCATCCGGCACCTTGAACTGGCCAAGCTGAGCCAGGAAAATCACGATGGCAAGGCCATTCACGAAACCAAGCATCACCGGGTGTGGCACCATCCGGATGAACTTGCCCCACTTCAGAATGCCGACGGCAATCTGCATGATGCCCATCAGGACAACGGTCGCGAACAGATATTCAACGCCGTGCTGTGCGACAAGAGACACCATGACAACCGCAAGCGCGCCGGTTGCGCCCGAAATCATGCCCGGACGCCCTCCGATGCAGGCTGTGATCAGCCCGACGAAAAAGGCGGCGTAGAGCCCGACGAGAGGATTGACGCCTGCGACAAAGGCGAAGGCAACGGCTTCGGGAACCAGGGCCAGCGCAACAGTCAAACCTGCCAGCAGTTCCGTTTTGATGCGCGAGGCATCCATTTTGGTCGATTGTACAGGCGCAACGGCCTCGGCACGTGCAGTCAAGACGGGCTCCAGACTATTCATGTTTTGTTGAAACGGTCGCCCAGGAACACCGGACATACACATTGACTTAGATCAATTGACGACCTTTTAGTCTATTTATTGCGCCGCAGCAAGATTTGCCGCGAATACCAGCCATGCATCGTGAAACAAGTGCAGCATAATAGAACGCTGTCATATGTGTTGTCGTCCGATTTGGTCTCGACGCTGCGTTGCCGATGCAACTAAACGGTTGCATCTGTGGAAGTGTTATCCGAATTAAATTCAGGTGATCTCAGTTGAGGCGGTCTTCATCTGAGTTCCTGCACTCTGAAAACACTCGACGGACGTCTTTCTGACGATTAGAACCAATGAAATCACTTCCGGGAGACGTTATGAAGCCGACAAATCCGGTGTTCACCGGCATCGAAACCACTGTTTTTGAAACCATGTCCCGGCTGGCGAAGGCTCACAATGCCGTCAACCTCGGGCAGGGTTTTCCCGATGTGGACGGACCTGACGACATTCGTGAAGTAGCCGCGAGGACCTTGATGGACGGCCCGAACCAGTATCCGCCGATGCTGGGCCTACCCGACCTGCGCGAGGCGGTTGCCGAGAGCAACAGGCGATTCTACGGACTTGAGATCGACGCACAGAGCGAGGTTCTGGTGACGTCCGGAGCTACCGAGGCGCTTGCGGACTGCATCATGGCGCTCGTGTCACCGGGAGATGAAGTGGTTCTGGTCGAGCCGCTCTATGACTGTTATCTGCCTCTGGTGAGGCGGGCAGGTGGAATTCCCGTGCGTGTTCGGGTCAGCCCGCCGGAATGGCAGCTCGATACGCAAAAGCTTCGTGCCGCCTTCTCTGAAAGAACCAAGGCAATCCTGATCAACAATCCCATGAACCCGACGGCAAAGGTATTTTCCGCTGCGGAATTGCAGTGCATTGCCGACTTGTGCCGCGAATTTGACGCTTATGCGATCTGTGACGAAGTTTACGAACACCTTGTTTTCGACGGGGCGGCACACCGGCCCCTGATGGCATTGGACGGAATGCGGGAGAGGACGGTCCGTATCGGTTCAGCAGGCAAAACCTTTTCGCTGACGGGCTGGAAGGTCGGCTATGTCACGGGTCCTGCCCGGTTGATCGATCCGGTTGCCAAGGCGCACCAGTGGGTCACATTCACCACACCGCCAAACCTGCAACAGGCAGTTGCTTATGGTTTGAGGAAAGACGACAGCTACTATCAGGACCTGGCCCGGTACCTGGAGGCGAAGCGCGACCGGATGGCGAGGGGGCTCCAGGCACTTGGATTTTCTGTTCTTCCTTGCTCCGCGACTTACTTTCTGACCTGCGGTTTCGAAGAACTTGGTCTGGGTGATAATGATGTCGATGTCTGCGAGGTCCTCGTGAAGCAGGCCGGCGTTGCAGCTGTCCCGGTCTCCGCCTTTTATGGTGCGGATGCGCCAACCGGTTACATCCGGTTCTGCTTCTGCAAAAAAGACTGGGTGATCGACGAAGCCCTGGCGCGGCTCTCTGCTTTTTTAACTGCGGCAGGCGGCGAATCCGCATAGCCTCAAACAACCGATTTGATCAGGATGAGAAACTTCATGGACAATCCGGCTCTGGTCGATGTGACACGCGGAAACCTGACGGAGAGCCTGCATCGTGGCAGCGTGGCAGTCGTTAATACCGGCGGGAATCTTGTTTTCGGGATCGGCGATGTCGACGCCAGAGTATATCCCCGTTCTGCGATCAAGGCTCTACAGGCGCTGCCGCTGGTGGAATCGGGCGCCGCAGAAGCCCTTGATCTGACCGATGCCGAACTGTCGCTTGCCTGTGCGTCCCACAATGGCGAGGAAATTCACGCAAACGCCGCCCGGGTGATGCTGCTTAAAGCCGGGCTGAACGAGGATGATCTGGAATGCGGTCCGCAATGGCCGCAGCGAATGGAAGATGCCGCCAAGCTGATCCTCGCGGACGAAGTACCCTGCGGCCTGCACAACAACTGTTCCGGTAAACACGCAGGATTTCTGGGGCTGGCCAAGACGATGGGGGTCGATACGCGCGGCTACATCGAACCGGACCATCCGGTGCAGCGCGAAGTCCGCCTCGCGATGGAACAGATGACGGGCGACACGCTGACTGAAGATGTGTGCGGAACCGATGGTTGTTCCATACCGACCTATGCCTCACCACTACGAAGCTTCGCGCGGGCCTTTGCTTCGTTTGGAACCGGAGAGGGGCTTGAACCTCTTCGTGCCGACGCGGCCCGGCAGATCTACGACGCCTGCATCAACGAGCCCTACATGGTGGCCGGTGCGGATCGCTTCTGCACCCGGGTCATGGAAACTTTCCGCGGTCGGGTCTTTGTCAAAACCGGCGCGGAAGGTGTTTTCTGTGCCGCGATACCCGAACTCGGATTTGGTGTATCGCTCAAATGCGACGACGGCGCAACGCGCGCTGCGGAAGTCATGATGGCGACTGTTCTGGAAATTGCCCTGGAGCTGAATGAAGACGAGGCTGTTCTTATGGACAATCTCGTCAATCCGCCTGTGTTGACCCGGCGGGGTGTTCAGGCTGGCCATATCAGACCCGGCGAAGAGTTTCTGTCCGCTTTGAAGGCCGCCCTGAAACAAGCCAAATGAAAAAGGCTACAAATCCTTTTTCATCATAATCTTGTTTCCGATTCTTAATGTTTCACTCCAACCCAGGTGACTGTAGAGAGACACATTCTCGGGCAGGTTTACATGAGTTGCGAGCTGAATTGCTGTCGCTCCGCTCCTACAGGCGAATTCCTCAGCCTTCTCCATCAGTTTCCTGCCCAGACCCAGACCCTTGAAGTCGGGATCGACGGCGACGTTCACCAGTTGGGCCGGAACGCCATCGAGATTCAAGATGATACATCCGGAAGTCTTGCCGCCTGTCTCGGCAACGAGTACCGTTTTTGCCGCGATGTCTTCTTCCAGACCGGCTGAAACGTCCGGCAGGTCGCTCAACCGTGCTTTTACCGGTGCATAGGCCCGTTCGATGCAACGTTTGAGAACGGCAACGTCTTGCAATTTCGCCTTGCGGATGGATGTTTCTTTGCTCGTCGATTTCACTGGAGTTTCCCTATGACGCCCCGCCCTGGTCTGTCTTTCCGTTTTACCCATGCAATCACGCGTACGCCGTCTGACAGCGTTGCGAGCGGGATCCGGGCTGTCGACAGCGGTGATCCGAGCGGCGCAAGATTTCGGGAGGAACATGAGCAATATGTCCGCGCTCTGCAAGAGGCGGGTCTTGAGGTTGACGTATTGCCTCCGCTTGAAAACTATCCTGACAGCTGTTTTGTCGAGGATCCGGCATTCTGCCTGCCCTCAGGTGCAGTCCAGCTTCGGCCTGGGACAGCCAGCCGTGAAGGAGAGGGCAGGGAAATCCGGCGTGCTCTCGAAGCCCGTTTCGCCGAGGTGGTCGAATTGCCAGGTGATGGCTTTGTCGACGGTGGCGACGTATTGATGCTCGATGATGTTGTCCTGATCGGCCTGTCGGCTCGAACAAACCGCACGGGAGCAGAGGCCTTCGCCGGCGTTCTGGCGGATTGGGGCTATGATGCCCGGGTTTGCGAGACTCCGGACGGTGTACTGCATTTCAAAACCGCCTGCTCCACACTTGGCGACGACGTCATCCTGGCAACGAAAGTCATGGCGGCAAGCGGCTTTTTCGGAGAGCGGAAGGTCGTTGTCGTTCCGGACGGTGAGGAATATGCCGCCAATGTCATCCGGGTGAACGACGTCGTCCTGGTTCCGGAAGGTTTTCCGAAGACACTTGAAGCGATTCAGCAGGAAGGCTTCAAAACCGTGGTTCTGCCGACCCATGAGGCGCGCAAGGTCGACGGTGGGCTCTCCTGTCTGTCCCTGCGTTTTGCCTTGCCTGAAACCTGATGCTCAAGCGCTCACCTGGTTTCCCGTGATCGTCAGATTGGCATGACGGGCTGAATTGTTCAGTTCGCCTGTTGCAGGTTCCAGCCAGCGATAGCCCTTTATCGCACCACGTTCCGAGCCCTGGACGATGTTGTTCGTGATGGCCGCCGGGCCTGCTCCGTCAACGACAGTCACGGCTATGCCGGTTCCGCAGTCACGCAGAATGTTCTGGGATGCAACGATATTGCGCATGTAAGGCCCCCAACCCAGTAGCATGCCGAATTTGGGAGCTCCTTCAATGACGTTGCCGGTCAGTGTCGTGTCGGCTTCAGCGGCAATGCCAATGCCGAAACCTGAAACCTCCGGTGGGTATGGACCGTCTTCGGAGATGTTGCGGATGATGTTTCCGGAACAGACGGACATACGGCCGCCATCCATGAAATTGGCGATGGAAACACCGGTCGTGCCACCGTCGACGATGTTGTTCGCAATTACCGCACCTTGAAAATTGAATTCCGAATAGATCGCACATTCGCCGGACCGCAAACAGGAATTGCCGAGGATTTGAACATTGGATCCCGTGTTTGAGCGTATGGCTGAAAATGCGCAGTCTGTGATGCGATTGTTGGAGATCATCACGCCGTGGGCCCTGAACACGTTGATGCCGTTGCCGAACTGGCCTGTGCCACCATAGCGGGCGCCAATGCGTTCAACCCGGTTGCCCGACACAATGGTGCCGTCTTCACCTTCACGCCAGCGGTGCACCCAGATGCCGCCATTGGCGCAATCGGTGATCGTATTGCCGGTTATCGCCAGTCCATCGGCTTCGTTCGAGCGCAGTCCGGCCTCGGCCGCGCCGTAAATCCGGCAGTTTTCGACGCGTCCCGAACAACGATCCACGACAACACCCATTTTCGAAGAGCCCGCGATATCACAGTTTTCGATCGCGAGATTGCGGACACCGACAAAGTGGAGCAGACCCTCTGTGAAATCGCCGATCGACCGGTTGGCGCCATCGAAGGTGACACCTTGAATGCCGATGTTGCTGACACCCTCCGCACGGATAAGCTGGCCGCCGCCGCCCTGATAAACGAGCCGGGTGCGGCCCGGAACGCCGACGATCAATGTGCCCGAGGGCAGACGCAGATTGGCAACCGGATAGGTGCCGGCCGGCAGGAAGAGGGCGCGACCGCGATCAACGGCCCGATTGACGGCGTTCTGGAACTGGGCAGTCTGGTCGTCGGAGGCATTGGGCAAAAGGCCAAGGTCGGCTGAATCGATCGAGCCTCTCAGATCCGCAACTTTCATTTGTGCCATCGCTGCTGTCCCGGAAAGAGACAGTGCTGTCCCGGCAAGAAACGACCGGCGGCTCAGTTTGGAAAAATCACGTCTCATTGGCAATGCCGTTTGCTGTGACCGTCCCAGGATGGGAAACAGTGCGGGTTTTCACCCTGAAATCAGCAAGGGATGTGCCGGATTGGCTGAGACTGTGGCGTTGGCCCGGACAATTCGCTCTTGAACAAGCATCGGGACGAGATTGACCCGGTCGACTGCGGATCTTGGCTCAAGGCCGTGCGGCGCGGTGATGCATTCCCACGTCGCAAGGAAAGACCTGGCCTGAAACGCAAGCGAAAACCGGCCGGGACGCGTCCCGGCCGGTGTTTAATCGATCCTTGGGGGCATTCAGACCGATTAAAGTTCGCTCGGATCGGTTTCTTCGATGCTGGTCCAGTTATCGTCAGCGGACTTGACGAAACCGGGGATATCCTTGTTCCAGCGTTCCTGAATGCTCTCGGACAGGTTCAGGTAAAGCTTGCCGTCAACGATTTTCCAGAGATCCGGGTCGCCGTCCACCTTGACGCCCATGGCCGTGCCGAAAGCGCAGAAGCCGCCATATGCCGGAAGGTACTTTTCCGGGTTCTGCTTGAAGAGATCCCGGTTGGCTTCTGAAACGAAACGGTAGGTTGCACCGTTATGGACCTCGGTGATGGAGAAATCGCCGTCCTGAGGAGCGCCGTTGGTGAAGTAGGTAACCGGGTCAACTCCACGCAGGGCAAGACCGGTGATTGTGGCGTTTACGTCGAACCCTGCACCGAAGGCGCTGGAAACGAGACCGGAGACAACGACAAGAGCAGCAACAGAGCCGCGGATCATGTTCTTAAGCATATAAAACTCTCCCAGGAGTCTGCCTGAAACAGGCGTTGAATTTTGGCCGGCACGGCAGAGTTTGCGCTGACAGGAGTTTTTCGGTACCATTCGGTTCCAAACTGAGCAGAGCTGCCCACCCCGTGCCGGTGAAATGAACATATGGTTAGGAACCAATCGGTACAAAACACAAGAGCGTGAGGTTCTGGTGAGCCTTTCGTGAAGAGGTGCCGAGGACAAAGAATGGCAAGACCACGTGAATTCGACCCTGAAGAAGCGATGGACAAGGCCATGGGCCTTTTCTGGGATGTTGGTTATGAGGAAGCGTCACTGACAGAACTTCTTGCAGCGATGGAAATCACCAAAGGATCCTTTTACAAGGCCTTTCAGGACAAACAGTCGGTCTATCTGGCATCGCTCGACCGATACAACAGCAAGGTCATCAGCGGAACAGTGTCCTATCTGGGCGATAGCGGACAGGGAACCGGCCGGGAAAGGATACTCGGCCTGTTCGCCATGGTTGCGGATGCGGTGAAAAGGGACGGTGACCGGCTCGGCTGTTTTCTCTGTAACGCACTGATTGACAAGGCGGCCGAAGGCGGCGAGGCCGAAAGCAAGCTGCAAGCCATGGTTCACCGGCTGGAAAACGCTTTCTTCCAGGCAGTGACAGATGACGGGTCCGTTGGTGAGAAAGATGCGCGAGAAACGGCGCGTGGCATCCTGTCCGCCTATTTCGGTCTCAGGGTTCTCGGACGTGCCGGCCTTTCCGGTGAGATGGCAATGGATTGCATCCGGCAGGTGGAGTGGCTCCTCTACCGGGTGAAGACGTGAACGCGCTTCACGAACGGACCCTCGCGACCTGAAGCAGAAAGGTTTGACCGGTCTGCGCACAAACGGCCCCTTGGAGCCCACCGGATGGATCAGCGCAGCCGGACGGATACTCGTCGCTCACCAGGAGGAGGTGAAAACTGGAAGAGCTTACTGTCTCTCCAGGCAACGCGACAGCCGACACAGGTGTCTGAATCCCTGCGTTGACGAACTGCAATCGCGATAGACCGGCCAGGGCCTGCCTAATCACCGAGAGTGACGTCTCCGACGAGTTTCGTAATGCGCCGATTTCCCGGGAGCGCTTCCGTTATGGCAGTGCCGGCACCGGAAAGATCCTGATACCTGCCGGATCCGCTCAGGATTTGCCAGGTATTGCCGTTCGGTTCGGTGTCGAAGCGCAGTATGAACGTATCCTCGCCATCGCCATGCATGCAGATGCCGTTTCCCGCAAGTCCCTTAGAGCCCCAAAATCCAGCACCGTGGCATTCGACGGCCATTGATTCAATAGGCCCTTCGGTCACTTGGCTGACCCCTTGGAATTTTACCATCCAGTAGCCTGAGGACTCGTCAACAGGCCACAATTGGGTCTCGGTGACGTATGTGTTCGTTGCTTCGAACTTTTCTGCTGCTGATGCCGCCATTGGGACCAGAGCCAAGACAAAGGCAATGAGTTTCTTCATGATATCGATCTCCGCATGCACGCCCGGTTCACCAGTGAACCGAACTTCAACGCAGACAAGATCCCGGTTTCCCGACGCCTTCGTCCTGAATATTCGTTTTCAGCTTCCTGAAATCACCTGAAATCCGCTATGACTGGTTGAGTATTTCCACATTTCCGGGGACGCATGGACGATTCTCAGCGCTCATTCCTGATGCTCGGGTCTGTGCGATTTGACCGCGGGGCGCGCCGTTTGATTGATGCGCAAGGCCAGGGCCTGCCGCTGAGACCTCAGTCTCTGGCGGTCCTGGGTGTCCTTGCCAACAACAAAGGCGAGACAGTATCCAAAAATGATTTAATCGCGTCAGCCTGGGGTGCGACACATGTCACAGACGACAGCCTGATCCAGTGTATTGCCGATATCCGCCGAGCGATCGGGGACGAAGGCCACTCAATCATTCAAACGGTACCGCGTGTCGGATACAAACTGGTGCCAACACAACCGGAGCCTGAAACCGCATCTCGCGTGAATTCGCGTTGGCTTCTGCCAGCCGCCGCCCTCGTGGTGCTGGTCGTGATAGCGCTTGTCGCGACATGGATGGCGCTGTTACGACCCTCTGGGATGCCTTCACGCCCGTCGATTGCGGTCTTGCCGTTTGAGCATATCAGTGATGACCAATCTCAGGCCTTTTTTACGGATGGAGTGTCGAAGTCGATCACGACAAACCTGTCCAGATTCGAAGGGCTTTTTGTTGTCTCCAGCTATTCGGCCTTCCAGTACCGTTTCAGCAAAAAGCTATTGAAAGAAATCGCGAGCGACCTCGGCGTGCGCTATCTGCTCACCGGGGATGTGCAACCAGTCCAGGAACAGCTGTTAATCACGGCACAACTTACAGATACCACGGATGGCAAGGTGGTCTGGGCTGAGGAATACACCTTGTCGCGCTCGAATGTGCTGGCGGTGCAGAATGAATTGAGTTCGCGTATTGCCACGACGCTTGTCCAACGGGTCGAATTGGCCACATCGCAATGGGCCAGGTCTGTGACGCCTGAGGACCTGACGGCATATGAGCTGGTATTGCGGTCCGAGCCACCGCCTGTTGATCGAGATGGGCTGAACGCGGCAAATGAACTACTTGATCGCGCCATTGCCCTGAGCCCGGATTTCACACTTGCCCATTCGCTTAAGGCAAAGAATGACTTGCTGCTGTGGCGGCATTCGCTTGCTGAAGACCTGGATGAGGCGTTGCGGCAGGCTCGAGCCTCTGCCGCCCGAGCGATCGCCCTGGATAATAACAGCTACCAAGCCTACCATGCTTTGAGCCAGATCGATCTCTATGCGGATCAAGATCACACACAGGCTCTGGCCAATCTTGCGAAGGGGCTGGAGATCAACCCGAACGATGCTGACATGATGGTGCGTATGGCGACACTGCTTGGCTTCATGAACCGTGACAAGGAGGCGTTGGATTGGATCGAAAGAGCGGTGCGTCAAAACCCGTACCATCCGGTTTGGTATCACTGGAACGCGGCCTTTGTCCTTGAAGTTGCCGGTGAACACGAAAAGGCAATCGTGGCGAGCAAGAAGGCTCTGGCAGTTTATCAGACCAGCGCGTCGATCCGGCGTATCCTGATCGCTGCACATGGTCATTTGGGCCAATGGGAGGAGGCGGAACGGTACACTGAAGAAATACTGAAGGAATTCCCGGACTTCAGGCTGTCTTCACACATGCGAAACTCACCCTTCATGGATCCGGTGGAGAAATCGGAATATTGGGAGCTGTTTCGAAAAGCGGGTTTGCCAGATTAGAAGTCCGGCCCCCCCCCGGGTCTGATTTTCTCACAGAAAATGCGGCGTCCTGAAACTGTGCTCTGACAGGTAAATGCGGGCGGCCTGGCTTCCGGGTGGTGAAATTCACCAGTCAGTCTGCCAAGACTGCAGCGTCGTTGCCTCGAAATTGGAGCCACAATCACCTTCAAGACACCGGTTTTGTTTTGGCTACCGGATGAGGGCTTACTGCAACCTTCTTGCGGTCTCCTTCAGCAGCCTGACGGCAGCTTCCTCAATAACCGGATAAGCAGGCCTCGTATCTCTCTTGCCCCTGGGAAGCGACGGTACATGCACGAATATGCTCGGAATGGCAGACCCGATGGAGTCCCACAGCGTTGCGTTGCAAAGATAGGTCCCGGCATCCCTCGACAATTCGGCAGGGGCACCGGCGGCACGGGCCGCATCGCGAAGGGCGCGGGCAGGCAAGGTGGACGATCTGGCCCACTCGCTTTCGTTCATGAGCTCTGGCCTGCACGGAGACTGACCTGCCGCATCAGGCCGCACGCGTGTCGCACGATTGACTGCGCGGGTTTCGATATTCATGGTTCGGCGCGTTCCGTCGACACCGAAATGCACGATGGCGTCCGGTCCGATGTCATTGCGCAATTCCGCAGTGACTTGGTGCCTTGCCGCCCAGGTTGTCGGCAGGACGTGAAAGACGAATTCGACACCGGCCTGATGTCCTCCAAGTCTCAGGGGAAGACGCTTCATGAGACGTTGGGTCGGATTGACCGGAGCACCTGGAAACGGTGAAAAACCGGTCACAAGAACAGTCTTGCGGGCGTTCTTCATTCTTTCAGTCCCATGAGTTCTGCCAGTTCATCGACCGCCAATGAAACAGCCGTTGTTCCGTCCCGCACGCACTCTTCCAGGACATTCAGACGCTCGGCGGTTTTCTGGTTGGTTCTGAGTGCTGCCGTCATGCGTTGCTGCAACAGATCCCACATCCAGGCGACTTGCTGACGGCTGCGTTTTTCTTGCCATTCACCGCTGGCCTGCATGCGTTCCCTGTAGAGCCCGATCTGTGCCCACAGCGTATCAAGACCCTCGTTCGAGAGGCCCGAGATCGTGATGACCGGAGGAATCCAGTTTGGCGATTTCGGCGCCAGAATGTGGAGAGCCGCCCGATAGTCGGAGGCGGCAGAGCGCGCGCGCAGGGCACCATCTCCGTCCGCCTTGTTGACAGCGATCATGTCGGCAATTTCCAGAACACCCTTCTTGATGCCCTGCAGTTCGTCGCCGGCGCCGGGCAGCATCAAGACCAGAAAGAAATCGACCATGTCGGCGACCGTCGTTTCCGACTGGCCGATACCCACCGTTTCCACCAGGATGACATCGAAGCCGGCCGCCTCGCACAGGAGCATGGTCTCGCGTGTTTTCGCGGCAACGCCGCCAAGAGTTCCGGCGGACGGTGAGGGGCGGATATAGGCGCCCGGGTCGGTCGCGAGCCGTGCCATTCGGGTCTTGTCGCCAAGGATCGAACCGCCTGTGCGCGTCGACGAGGGGTCGACGGCCAGGACAGCCACCTTGTGCCCGGCGGCCGTCAGGTTGGAGCCTAGCGTGTCGATGGTCGTCGACTTGCCGACGCCCGGTACACCCGTGATGCCGATCCGAAACGCCTTTCCCGTCAACGGCAGCAGGTCCTGAATGAGCTGGTGCGCCAGGTGACGATGCTCGGCCCTTTTCGATTCCACCAATGTGATCGCACGCGCCAACGCGGCGCGTTTGCCCGATTTCAGCTCCTCGGCGAGCAATTGAGGATCAAGTGTTCTTGGCTGTGCAGTCATGTCAAAGGCTTAAACCAGGATTCGGCAAAGGTCACGGTGCCTTTTGGGTCAAGGGCGGCTGAGCACTGAAAGTGCCAACATCGGCAGATTTACTCCGCGCGGACCGGTCTCTTCCGATTTGAACAATTTCCTCGATGTTTTGAAATGGAGTTCCAGGCCGAATGAGACCATCTCGCGTTTGCGCGAAACAGTGTGGTGTCTCAATTGTTGAGGACGTTCCGAAGCAAGGTTTACGAGGCGACCGGAAGCCGGTAGATGGTGGCATGCAAGGGCGCCGTTCGACTGTGGGACCACTTTCAGCGAACCGAATAATCCGGAGCTAGATTGCGATGGAACGTAAAAACAAGGGGTGAGCGATGTTTGGTTTCGGGCGATATGTCAAGGAACGCTTCCGCGCGCATCTCAAGTCGCTTTTCGGAACTCCGGAAGAATTGTCCTACTCACCAAGCAAGCTGGACAGGAAAGTACTCAAGTACATTTCCCACGATGGTGGCTACTTTATTGAATTGGGTGCCAATGACGGCGTTTCTCAATCCAACACCATGTTGCTTGAAGAAAAGTATGGATGGCGCGGATTGTTGATCGAAGCGATACCGCACAAGTATTTTGAATGCAGAAAAAACAGGTCGGAAACAAATGATTTCTGTTTTGCGGCAGTCGTGGATGAAAATTTCTCGGGCAAATTTGTGGAACTGAGCTACGGCAACCTCATGACTATTCCCGAAACAAGTCAATTGAACAAACAGGACCACATTGCCGTGGGTTCGCGGTTCCTCAGAAAGGGAGAGGAAACCATCGTTTTCGGCGCGCCGGCCCGCACGCTGACAAGCATCCTGGACGAGGTGGGTGCTCCCGGTTTGATCAACCTGTTTTCATTGGATGTGGAAGGAGGCGAACTGTCTGTACTCAAAGGTATAGATTTTGACAGGTATTCTTTTGAGTATATTCTGATTGAAACCTTCGATTTTGAGGAAATCAAAAGCTTCCTGCAAATCCATGATTATGAATACATAGAGAAATTCACTGATCACGACTACCTGTTTGGCTTGAAAAACAGGTCTCAAACAAATTGATTGCTTCAGTTTTCCTTGGCTGAATTTGACAGATGGCGAATGGTTCGCTTCTCGAATTCAGCAATCTGTTCCCGTCCTGAATTTAACTCTTCGGCGTCCAGAGAATACGTTGAAGCTCAGCATTGCGCAGCTCCTTGGATGGGGGCAGGCGGTCGAAAGGCCCCTGGTAGCCGGGAATGGCATAAACGAGTTCGACATTCGGATGGCCGGTCGAGTCGCAGATTGCCATGCCGCGCCAAAGGTTCTTGCCGGCCCGGCATTTGGAGCGGTTTGTACCGATATCTGAAAACGTCATGCCGATGCGTTCTCCGTTGGGACCCTGAAGGTGATGGGTCACGCCGTGGACGGATCTGATCTTGCCGTTTTGCCCCTTGAACACCTGCAGGACCTGGAAGCCGTCCGTGTTGAAGGCCGCGAGCGCCCATTCGGTCTTGTTTTCAACTGCCGTCTGAATACCTTCGGTGGTAAAGCCGGGCAGTGCGGATTCGATCGCCTTCGAACCGTAACGGGTCTGGGGCGTGATGCCACCGACATTGTCCTCGGTAATCTGAACGAGGGTGACGTTAGAAGTCTGGACCAGTCGACCCGTAGTCCCATCGAAGTCAGCTGAAGGTGAACAGGCTGATACGGCAATGGCGGCCATAACCGGTATGGCATTCAAAAAACGAAGACACATAGGCAAGACACACATAAATTATTGAAGGCCGTGCTTTGCGCACGGTGCTTACAAGGGTTTAACGACTCAGGATTTTTTTGCAATTGCAAAGCCCGGTGCTGTGGAAAGTCGGCACCGAACCTTGAGGATAGTCAACAATGGCTCAGGTTTCGTCCTTCTTGATCCACTTTGGTGTGCTTGGAGGTTCGTAGCCCTTGAACAGGTCGATCAACGCTTCCGGCGTATCGGCGATCTGGACCATGTCGCGCATCACCTTTTTCGTGAATTGCTCGCCAGTCTGGTGGTCGAGAAATGCGATCAGGTGATCGTAATAGCCTTCGATATTCAGGAAGCCGCAAGGTTTTTGATGATAGCCGAGCTGTCCCCAGGTCCAGACCTCGAAAATCTCCTCAAGAGTTCCCGCGCCGCCGGGCAAGGCGATGAAACTGTCGGAAAGATCGGCCATCAAGGCCTTGCGCTCATGCATTGAGCCGACGAGGTGGAGCTCGTCGAGGCCTTCGTGACCGATTTCCTTGTTCTGCAAGGCCTTGGGCAGTACACCGACGACTTCACCACCTGCCGCAAGCGCGGCGTCGGCAACAGTACCCATCAATCCGACCTTGGCACCACCATAGACGAGCCGATAGCCGTTTTCGGCGATAACGCGACCGGTGTCCCTGGCCGCGTCGGCATAAATATCGCGCGCGCCGAAACTGGAACCACAAAAGACGCAGATGGATTTCATGTGTATTTCCTGTAAAAAACCATTGGGAGCGCGGGAGTGACCGGTCTCTAGCTCTTCGACAATTCATCCAGGACCCGCGCCCAGGAGCGAATGCCCTTGTGGAAGCTGGTCAGGTTGTATTTTTCGTTCGGCGAATGGATCTGGTCGTCTTCCAGCCCGTATCCGATCATCAGCGTGTCCATGCCAAGCATGCGCTTGAAATCACCAACGATTGGAATGGAGCCGCCCATTCCGGTAAGTGCAGCGTCCTTGCCCCACTCTTTCTTCAAGGCGATTTCGCCTTTCTCCAGAGCAGGCATCTTGAAGTCGAGCCTGAGGGCAGGGCTGCCTTCCTTGGCAATGAAATCGACCGAACAATCCGCGGGCACCTTGGAGCGGACATAGTCGCGGAAAGATGCCTGGATCTTGTCCGGATCCTGATCGCCAACGAGGCGGAATGTGAACTTGGCATGGGCTTGTGCGGGAATGACGGTTTTTGATCCTGCGCCCTGGTAGCCACCCCACATTCCGTTGACCTCGACAGTCGGGCGGGACCAGAGGTGTTCCAGCGGTTTGCGATCGTTTTCGCCGCGCGGGTATTTCAGGCCGACTTCTCCGAGAAACTCCTCGACGGAAAATCCGAGTCCATCCCACATGTTGCTGACATCTTCCGGCAGCTCAATCACACCATCATAAAAACCCGGCAGCGTGACTTTTCCATTGTCGTCGTGAAGACCTGCGATAATTGCCGCGACGATGTGATTCGGGTTTTGAGCGGAACCGCCATACATGCCCGAATGAAGATCACGGCTTGCCGCCTTTACAATGATCTCATCTCCCACCATACCGCGCAGCATCACGGCAATGGCAGGCGTTTCTGCGTCCCACATGCCGGTATCGCAAACAAGTGCGAGATCGCAGGAGAGTTCCTCCTTGTGTGATTTGAGAAACGGTTCCAGGGAAGGAGAACCGGATTCTTCCTCACCCTCGAACAGGATCGTTACGTCAATCGGCAGATCTCCGGTCTCTTCGATATAGGCACGCGCGGCTTCGACAAATGTCATCAACTGCCCCTTGTCGTCCGAAGAGCCCCGGGCAACGATGACCTTGCTGCCATCTTCACGGGTCTTGATTTTCGGCTCGAACGGGTCCTGCTCCCAGAGTTCCAGCGGATCGACGGGCTGAACATCGTAATGGCCGTAAAACAATACGTGAGGTCCGGGTTTTCCCGACTTGCGGTGACCCACAACCATTGGATGACCGGCGGTATCCCTCACGGACGCTTCAAATCCGATCGAATTCAGCTCGAGGGCGAGCCAATCGGCTGCTTCACGGCACGGGGCGGCGAATTCGGGGTCGGTGGAAATGCTCTTGATCTTGAGAAGATCGAACAGGCGGTCGAGGCTGGATTCGAAGTTGGACTCAATGCGCGCCAAGACCTTGTCGATGGAACTCATGACGGATCCTTGAATTTGGAACAGATAGGTGAGGCCGGAACATAATTGGCCTGTCAGAATGCCCTAACAGGCCACAAGCGTGCGCGAAGCGCAATCGGTTTCAACCCTTTTTTGGAAGAAGCGTTTGAGAGGCGGGGAGTTGACCGCGGGCCGTCACGATGACTTCGGCACGGGTCGGTCCAATCAAGTTTTCAAGCCGCTCGGAAAGTTCGGATTGAAATTCGTCAATCTCCATTGCGAGAACAGGCTTTTCAGGGTCGATATAAACGGCAGCATAGTGCATGCGCCCGGCCTGCAGTACGGCTGCCCGTTGAAGCCGGAAGCCCTTTTCGCGCGCGAGATCGCGTGCCGCGCGCAAGACCTTGGCGTATGTGTCACCCGGCGCGCTGACCCCGGCCAGGTCCGCGAGCGTCTTGCGGAACGTTGCCATTGGTTGCCAGATAATCGCCAGTATCAAAACAAGCACGATGACCGCGTCTCCGATCGGTACATATGGACCGAGTGGCGTGTCTTCCAGAAAGGGCAGTGACAGAAGTGCAGCGCCCGCGCCAACACTGAGCGCACCGTCTATCATCGCGGCTTTGGATTCGGTTTTCAAAAGAGCGCTGCGCTTGCCTGTCGCTTTGTAGGCGCGGTGGTAATTGAATGCCAGCGCGAGGCAGATAATCACAATTCCGACCGAGTAGAAAACGATCGGTCCGAACACCAGTTCTGGTACCTCTCCGCCGGTGAAGAAAGTCCAGATCTTGAGGCCTGATACAACCGCTGCAAACACCAGAATACCAACAAGAATGAGGCTTCTGAAGGTGACGTAGAGTACTTCGTCGAAATCGTGGCCCCATGGGCGGCTGCGGGTTGGCGGCAATCCGACCCGGGCTCCGATGCGCGCGGCAGCAATGGCGGAAACGAAATTGACCGCTGAATAAAGCCCATCCACCATCATGGCGTCGGATCTTGAGAGCCAGGCTGTCAGGACGCCGGCAAATGCCATGAACAGATTTGCCCACTTGCCGACGGTCAGGGCGTTGCGTTCGGTGTCCCGGTTGTCGGCCATGCGTCTCAGTTTCCGCGTTTCAGGGATCCCATCAGACCACGAACAAGCGCACGGCCCAAGGAGCTTCCGAGGCTTCTGGCAGCCGACTTCAGTCCAGCTTCCAGAACCGTATCCCGCTGGCTTCTGCGTCGCGAGCGTCTGTCGATGCTGTCTTTCTTCGGACGGTCGTCGCGGCCGAAATCCGGCAATTCAAAGCCGGACCGGGAGCGTCGGGGCTCGCCATGTTTGCGGGCGTGCTTTTCTTCCTTGTCGCGGCTGCGCTGCTCCTGGCGCTGCTCTTCCTCAGCGCGGCTCATCAGGATTTCATAGGCTGATTTTCTGTCCTTGGCCCGCTCGTAGACGCCGAACACCGCGCTTGATTGGATAAGGCTGCGCCGCTCCGCCTGGGTGATCGGCCCAAGCCGGGAAGAGGGGGGACGGATCAGTGTCCGTTGAACGATCGAAGGAATTCCCTTTCCTTCAAGTGTCGAGACCAGGGCTTCACCGACGCCCAGTTCGGTTATGACGCGTTCGGTGTTGAGATCGGGGTTCGGCCTGAATGTTTCCGCCGCCGCTCTCACCGCTTTCTGATCGCGCGGCGTAAACGCGCGCAGTGCGTGCTGGATCCGGTTGCCGAGCTGCGCCAAAACAGTCTCGGGAATGTCGAGCGGGTTCTGGGTCACGAAGTAAACACCGACGCCCTTGGAACGGATCAGGCGCACGACCTGCTCAACTTTTTCGACAAGAGCTTTTGGCGCACCACTGAACAGCAGATGGGCTTCGTCAAAGAAGAAGACCAGTTTGGGTTTTTCCGGGTCACCGATTTCGGGCAGTTCCTCGAAGAGTTCCGACAGAAGCCACAAGAGAAAGACAGCGTAGAGCCTGGGCGATGTCATCAGCTTGTTTGCAGCGAGAACGTTGACGACACCGCGGCCATCCGGCCCGACCCGGATGAAGTCCCGGATATCAAGCGCCGGTTCGCCGAAGAAATTCTCGCCTCCCTGCCGCTCCAGAACGAGCAACCGGCGCTGGATTGCTCCAATCGATGCCTTGGAGACATTTCCATAGAGGGTAGACAATTCGGACGCACGTTCGGCTACATGAGCCAGCATGGCGCGCAGGTCCTTCAGATCAAGCAGCAACAGCCCTTCGTCGTCGGCCAGTTCGAAGAGGACGTTCAGAACGCCTTCCTGGGTATCGTTCAGCTCCAGAAGACGCGACAGAAGCAACGGTCCGATTTCAGAGACAGTGGTCCGGATCGGGTGTCCCTGTTCGCCGAGCAAATCCCAGAACACGGCGGGAAACGCCTCATAAGTGTAGGACTCCGAGATGCCGATGTCCTTGGCTCGTTTTTCAAGAAAGTCCTTGGATACCCCTTTTGCGGCGAGCCCTGACAGATCTCCCTTGATGTCGGCGCAGAACACCGGCACGCCAGCTTTTGAGAATCCTTCGGCGAGTATCTGAAGCGAAACGGTTTTACCGGTGCCGGTGGCGCCCGCGATCAAGCCGTGCCGGTTGGCAAGTTTCAGCGCCAGTGTTTCGTCCTTGGCGCTGGCGCCAATGTAAATGCTGTTCTTTGCCGTCACGGTATCCCCCGAATCCTTCACACTTTCCACAAATCTAGCAAAGGCCCTGAAAAAAAGCGCGCCCGTGATGCAGTGTCCGGTCGACGTCGATCGGCAATTGCATATATAGAAACGCCGGGCAGCGTGTCCGAACCCGGACCACAAGAATTCATCGCAAGCTGGAGAACAGTATGGAAGAGCTCGTCAGCCGTGTAATGTCGGCAGCCGGAATTGACAAAGACCTGGCGACAAACGCAGTCGGCATCATTCTGAATTTCCTCAATAAAGAGGGCCCCGAAGACAAGATGAAGCTCATATTTGACGCCTTGCCGGGCGCTGCGGAACTTGTGGCGGGCCGCCAGGACGCAGGATCGGGCGGTGGTCTGATGGGTGGTCTGGGCAACATGATGGGTGGCAAGATGGGCGCCATGGCAGCGCTCAGCGAGTTGAACGGTGCAGGCCTCGACATGGGCGGAATTCAAAGTGTTGTGAAAGAACTGGTTTCCTATGCTAAGGAAAAAGCAGGGGACGACGTTGTGGATGAAGTTATTTCACAAATTCCGGGGTTGAGCCAAGTCGTCTAACTGCCCCAGGGTTCGACCGCCGGTCTTATAGGGAGTTCAGTGCGCATGTCTTATTCGATCGATGAAATCGAGGGCATCGGCCCGACTTACGCAGCGAAACTGAGTGAATTGGGCATCAAGACGACGGAAGCATATCTTGAACGCGCAAAGGACCCGAGCGGACGCAAGGCGCTGGAAAAGGATACCGGAATCGACGGCAAGCGAATCCTGAAGTGGGCCAACATGGCCGATCTGATGCGGATCAGCGGTGTCGGTGAGGAATATTCCGAGCTGCTCGAAGCGGCTGGTGTCGATACCGTGAAGGAATTGAAACACCGCAATGCGGCCAACCTGGCCACCAAGATGAGCGAAGTGAACGAGGAAAAGAAACTTGTTCGTCAGGTTCCGAGTGAAAGCCAGGTGACGAAATGGGTCGAGCAGGCAAAAGAACTGCCGGCGATGATGACCTACTGATTAGAAACGGCAAAGACCTGAATAGTGAAAGGCGCGTCAATGACGCGCCTTTTTGTAATTCATCGCAGTGTGCCGCCTGCCAACGTTATGTTGTTCACATCGAGCAAGCGAAGCAATCAGACGCTGATCTGTCCGTATCGCAGCGCTTCGACAACCGTATGGGTCTTGTTCGACGCGTTCAGTTTCACGCTGGCATTTTGAAGATGGGCGTGGACGGTTCTTTGCGAAATATCCAGCACGTCGGCGATTTCGCCTGCTGTCTTGCCGTAGGCGGTCAATTCGAGAACCCTGCGTTCGCGGTTTGAAAGCGCGCCGGGCCGCTGGCCTGAAATGACACCGAGTTCACGAAGCCGGGAGAACGCGGCAGCCGACAGAACTTCCAGATTTGCCAGATCGTACTTGTTCACCTGCAGTGACGGACCGCTTGCGAAAACGAACGCCTGGAACGGATAAAGTTCTGTTACCGGAACCACGACGATCTGACTGCCTTCACCTGCCGAGGCGAGGAGGTCGGAATGTTCCATGTCGCCGGCACTGATCGTCCAGACCCGGGCCCGGTTCGATCCGAGGCCAAGCATCAGGGCGCTGTCATTTGCCGATAATGACGTGCTTTCGATGCCGTCATTGCGTTGATCGGGCCAACGAAACCGCTGGACAAGGTTGTCAATCGGCCGGTTCGGCATCGGAAGGCCGGTGATCAGAATATGTGTCGCCCCCATGCGGCGTAGATTGGATTCCAGTATATCGAGAACATGGTGGGCCGCATTTGCCTCTGAGATAGCTCTCAGCTTGCTCTTCAATTCCGTTTGATCAAGCATTGTGCACATCCTTGGCGACTAAATTTGCCGCGCGCTTGCGATCGCAATGGAATCATCCACTCACGCCGCTGATGGGTTAAGTTCTGACTTTGTCCTGCCCGTTTTGGATAAAGATCAAAGCCCGGTGCCGCACATTTTTGTTGGGGGGGTATATTTCCCCATGCGTCGGCCTGATAACGCTACAATACAATTGATGATCGTACCAATAGGGAAAACTGGCAAAGTTTGCGAATTGCGCCAATAAATTGACAATATGCCTACATTTTTGCCGCTGCAGACCTGTTTTGCGTATTGTTTTTTTGTTTGGAGCTGAAATTGGCAATGCGCACAATTTGCGCTTTTGGTTCGATGGCAACGAATCATCACGGTTCACCGCGATCGCATGCGCGGCGATGTGAGGGTTTGCCGCAAGTCAAACATCCGATTTTCAGACCTAACCCTTTATGCTGAGTTGCCAAGCTTCCCGGGCGAGGACTAAAACTTGGCTCAAGGGAGACTATTGCAATGACGCTGAGTTTTACCGGACCGGATAGCTTCTACTCTGTCG